AGAATACCATCATTTGAAGACCCAATACCGAGTTATACCGGGCTTTACCGAGCAGATACCGAGTTATATCAAAGTTGTACCGAGTTTTTCCCAGAAAAACTCGGTACAACTCGGTATTTCTCGGTACAGCTCGGTATAACTCGGTATTGGTCTTCAGAGAACGGTATTCTTCATTATTATCAAATAATACCTAGTTGTACCGAGCAAATACCTAGTTTTTGGAGGGGAAATTACCTCCGACCGGACGTTCCTCTACGTCCTTGCACCGAACGTAATAAAATAGGAGAACTTCAATATCTTACTTTATCCCAAACAAACATCACATTTATTGTTCACAATTAAGTCAAGCAAATTCCTTGCTCAGCCTAGCTAGAAACCAGCACCTCACTCCTACACACCATTTCCACAATGGGATAATGTTTATTCTTTTTATGCTACTTGTTTACGTAGCTCACTATTGTCGCAAATCCTACCTACCACAAGCAAACCAAACACATCGAGACTTGCTGGCACTTTGAAAAGCCATGGATGGATTCATTAGACGAACCCATTCTACTTTGATCAAAACACCTACTCATCGGCCTCCTCACCAAACTGTCATCGCAACCTTCATTATCTTCACTCCTATTTAAGATGGTTGTCACAACATCCATAGTCCATCTTAAAGAGTATTAATATCATTGTTTTAATTTGTTTTTCATCAGGAAAACATGTTACCCTAGTCCCAAGCTAGCCTTTATGCATAAGGGTTTATAAGCTTATAAAAAGAAAATGTACTAGTACATGTATGTGAATAATAAAATATCCTTTTCTCCGTTTCCTATTTCTCAACCTCCTATTCTCGTGAAATTATTAAGTGCAGTCATCAGATGCCGTACGAACGTGAATCAGGACATGTCTCATCACCAATTTATTATGTGTCGTAATTATGTATTGTTGTGTATCGAGTGACATAGCGAGTCCTAATTGACCTGGTAACCGCACATAATAATTTCTCTATATTCTCAATCTTCTCGCAATAGACAGAGCTAATTCAATTGCAATTTATTTTAAACTTATATCTGATGTATCATCAAAAAATTTTGTTGATTGGGCACGAATCTTGAAACAAAATCAAGTTGGAAATTTTAAAAATTAAATATGGGATCATCTGAGCATTGATTTCAGCAAACTTCCTGTCGAACTGAACGTCTCAGAAATACGAACCCAACGACACCAAATTTGATCCAATCCGAGCTAAAATTGGTCCAAATCGAAGGCCTGAAGTACATTCGAAAGGTTCAAACCATAATTTGGATTATAAAATATTTTCCAAACATGACATGCTTATAGTTGAATCGAGTGGCTTGACGAGACAAATCCAACGAGCCCTAGATCACTGAATTTTGATATCATTAAGACATTCAAATGACCAATAAATGATCTATGATCAAAGGATTCAATATCTACCGTCCATTCAAACCACTCATAATTTACCCTTGATCTTCATGCTATTTACTGGTCATGTCACTCTCAGAAAACTATAAATAGACTCCTCATTTATCATAAGAAGGGACCCCCAAAGCAGGGGAAGGAGGAGGCCCAAGCAAGAGAGAAGAAAGCAAGGAAGAGAAGGAAGAGACTCATTCTCAACCACTGCCAAACTTTCACTCGGTAGCCGATCGGCTCCGAACTTCTGCCAGATTACCAACTGATGCCAAAATTAAGCAAAAAAGTAAGAAGAGAATGAAGAAAAAGAAAGGAAGAAAGAGAGTTCTCTTGTCACCAGACTCTTCCTTGACCATAGCTAGACTTCCACCTGGCAGCCTACCGACACCGAAGTTCTTCCTAAATGCCATTTGACGCCAAAGTTATGCCCAGCCCCTGACTCTCGTCGGATTTCTATCTGATGCTGGACATGTCCATCACTGGACTTCTACCTGGCATCGTCCTTCTGACATCCATCGTTAGACAACAGTCTTTATGACCTCCGTCGCCTGCCGACTATGGTCCTTCCGAATTATGTCACCCATTGACTACAGTCCTTCTGACCTCCGTCGCTAGACAATAGTCTTTATGACATTCGTCGCCCATTGACTATGGTCATTCTGACTTACGTCGCCTACCGACAACGGTTCTTCCGAGTTACGTCTCCCAATGACTACAATGCTTCCAACCTCCGTCGTCATACAACGGTCTTTATGACCTCCATCGCCAACCGAAGAAGGTCCTTGTATTTGATTCATTTATGGTCTAACACAAATCTCGAAGTATATATAATTAAAAATATTTCAAAAATTAAATTTGGGATCATTAGAACTCTAATTTCGGCAAATTTGTCAAAATGAACATCTCAAAGAGAAGAACCCAACGACACAAAAATATGCCGGATCCGAGCTGAATGGGTCTAAAGCATATTCAGAATGTTCAGGGGCGGAACCAACAATAATTTTCAGGGGGGGCGAAACTTATAGTAACTGTTCGCATATATGTCGCGGGGTCAGGTCGCGGAACAAAATTTGATTTACTATTTCTCTTTGTATTTGATTCATTATTCCTTAGCAATAACACATATACACAATATATTTAATTATATTGGGTGCAATTGCTTGAAGATCATAGTATTTTAATATTTTTAGGGATGGGGCCCTTATAATAAAGACTAAGAAATACCTAATTAATAGTGTAATGAAAAAAAAAAATTTGCAGGGGGGGGATCTTAGCCTGACTGTCGGATCGTTTCTTGTCAGCGGGACCTTAGTCCGACTGTCGTCAATCCTTCACTCAACTCTTCGAACTATTATAATTCAACCACTGGCGGATCCACGCACAAGTCAGGGTGGGCAAACGCCCACCCTCAAAAAAAAAATAATAATGGAAAGGAGGGGTCTTTTTGGAATTATGCCCCCCCTCAAAAAATAATTTTTGCCCTAATCCTGCGTTGCTCCCCATCCCGTCATCCGTTCGTAAATCGTGTCTTCCCAGTCTCCTTCAAGAGGTTGGCGCCTTACTCTTCGAAGCCTTTGTTATCTTCTTCGCAGCCTTCTTCTTTGCAGACCGTAGCCGCAGCCACAGTCGTAACCCTTGTCTTCTTAGCCAATCTACTTCTTCGGCTATTCGACTCTTCAATTTCCCAGACTCGCAGCCTTCATCCCTTCGGCATTCTTTGAGGCCTCCTCCTTCATCTTCGCCATTTTCGCAGAATGGTAGTCACATTGTTGCAGCCGGCTTTCCCACTCATTGAAGGGAGCTTTATCTAATCGAACAGTTTTTTTTTGTACCGCGTGCTTGGAACTGTGTGGGCTCGTTTGCTGGATTTCCACTTCATTGATTTGTTTTGTCCTTATTTGCCTTCTTCCTCCTCTTTCTGGATATTTTTTTTATTTTTTTTCTCCTCTTTGATCATATTGCCTACTGCAACCAGCGCTTAATGACAAGAAAAAAAAAAAAAGAGGAATCTCAGGGAAGAGAGGAGATTTATAGAAAAATAGTCGCAAATAACTACTAGTTTGCGGCCTTGATGAGCTGAGGGAATGAGCGGTGATGCAAATTCCCCTCATCTAGCTTTTGGTTAGTGGTTTCTTCCACATTTTTTATACTTTAAGCATTAAATCTGTATGATCGTCTTTTTGTTAAGAACCAATTTACAAAATATCATATTTTTTTTGTTTAGGTGTCGGTAAGGTTTTAGTGGAGATCTAATACTCACTGCTTTGTAATCGAAAACTGGTTTGAATCTGTGAGTGAAGTTACTGGTTGCATACGGTTCTGTTGAAATGGATTTGAAGGAAAATTGTTCTTGATCTGCTTTGATGTTAACCTTAACTGCAGAATATTTATTTCAAAGCGAAATTCCTTTAATTTACTGAAAATTTATATTATTTGCTTGTAGCAATATGAAATTCCTTTAATTTACTGATGATGACATTATAAATTATAATGGTTAATTTTTTTAAAATTATTTTATTATTATTGCTATTTAATGCTATTATTTTTATTATTATTTAATAAAATTTTGCCCACCCTGAAATAAAAGCCTGGATCCGCCCCTTAATTCAACGGCCTCTAAGTCAATAAACATGTGAACTGTTGTAATTGACTCAAATTTAGTAGAATTTTTTTACTTGATCGAGGATCAGTGGTTTTTCCTCTTTGGGTTTTCCACGAAAAATAAAAGTTATGATGCTGTACTTCTCTCTTTCATAAATCACATGTTTGCATGCTGAATATACTTGCATTACTAAGACAAAATTTGTACTCATTCTACCGCCGTAAATATTCTAGCCCGCAAGAAAATATTAATAAGGTGGCCAAACAAGCATTTTTTTGTTTTTTTTTTCTTGTAACAATTGACCATAACACAACATAGATGAGAATTACAACCATGTAATTCATCTTTGTCTATTAATTGAGAACTTTTACTATCAATTAGGAGATCTTAAATTTGAGTCTTTGATATGTAATATGTATTAATTTGTCTAAGATTTTATTTATGACAATCTTAGACAACTAATTTTTTAAATATTTTAAGAAAATCATTAAAAATTAACTTTATAAAATAAGAAAAAAAAAACAGTCCGAAACCAAGTTTTTTATTTTTCATTTTGTTGGGAAAACCGAAACCAAGCTTAAAAGTCACTAAAAAAAAACCTGCACCTACTTCCAGCATTAATAACTGGAAGTGCGAGTACAGCGTGATCGCTGCTCCCCGAGCGCATGCGCAGTCAGGAACGAGGTTGACAATATGAACTGCTCTCCCTTCATTAAACTCTTAATCCAGATTCGTTGATGATGAATTATTAGCCAACTACTTTCCGGCCAATAGCTTCTCCTCCTCCCCCTGCAAGCTGAAGAACTTCTTCATCTTTGAAAAAAATTAAATTGACAAAACAATCAAAACAGAGCAGCCGACAGTGAACAAAAACTAAATTTTTTTTAGTAAACACCGATCCAAACACATCCTCCGCATCATCTTCATCTTCATCTTCATCTTCCTCCAGACATAGCGTAATACAACAAACTGCTGTAAATATTTTGAACAGATATATATTAACTATATATAGAACATAACCATTGACTACAGTGCAAAGCTCTTCCACTTATCGGCAACTTCATTAAGCGCCTTATACGACGACCCTCCTTCTGCCACCGCCACCGCCGTCGCCTCCTTCAATTCCTTCACCCTATTCCTCAAAACCTTCCCTTCCTCCCCTTCCATCAACTCCTTCACCACCCTCGAAATCTCCTCACTATCAATCAAGCCATCGTCCCCTTTCTTCGGCCGAATCGCGATTTTCACAGCCTCAACCAACATCACCGCATTCATTGCCTGTTCAGCGAACAACGGCCAAGCAATCATCGGCACGCCGTGCGTCACACTCTCCAGCGTCGAGTTCCATCCACAGTGCGATAGAAACCCGCCGGTTGATGAGTGCGCGAGCACCTCGATCTGCGGCGCCCATGACGGCACAACAAAGCCCACGCCTTGCGTTCGTTCTAGAAAACCCTCTGGTAAGTAAACCAGTGGATTCTCTTTCGTTTGCGCGGTAAAGTAAGTCGAGGAGGAGTCCTCATCGCTAGGACTTCGCAATACAAGGAGGAATCTTTGCTTGCTGGCTTCAAGTCCCAGGGCAAGCTCCTTGAGCTGCCTCTTCGTAAGGGTCCCCCCGCTTCCAAACGAAACGAATAGAACAGACCCCTGTGGCTGCTCGTCAAGCCACTTCAAGCATGGCGAAGCTCCGCTGGCCGAACTCGCCTTTATCATCGGCCCGACCGGGTAAACCGGCGGCCGACCCTCCTGCTCCTCAGTAAGCAACTTCGCCGCACCGGGCTCTATCGCAGAAAAACTATTGACTAAAATCCCTTGCGCCTGCCGATAAAGAGCCGCGTGATGGAGCATCCATTTGTAGGCGTCGTTTGAACGATCTAGTAACGGAGTAACAATCTCGGGTCCTGGAATTGGAACGCATCCTGGGAGTTTGATTGGTTCTTTGAGGTCTTGATAGGGACCCGTGACGGCGGCGTCAAGAGCAGGGAGCTGAAGCATGAGGGTGAGGAACTGGAGGTTTGTGGGGATGAACATGTAGTAAAGGATGCCTAGATCGCGGGCAATTTGGAAGCCGTCGGTGGCAAAGAAGTCGGCGAGGAAAGCGACGAGATTGGTGGAGGATTGGAGGTCTAGGAGGACGGAGCGGAGAGCGGGTAGGGAGCGGATGGAGACTATGGACATTCGGGTTTCGATGGTGGCGTCAGACGGGACATCGTCGAGGGGGACGGAGGGGAGGGAGATGGAGGTGATGCTGGAGGGGAGGGTGGAGAGGAAGGTTTGGGTGGCTTTGTTGTCGGCGACGGCGAAGGTGATGAAGGTGACGGTGAAGTTGTGGCGTTGGACGAGAAGTTTGGATAGTTCGGCGAGGGGAAAGAGATGGCCCATGCCCGGGGTTGGGAGGATTGCTAGGTGAAGCCGACGGGATCCTGCGGCATCCATGGCTGGAGGAAGATGGGAAATTTGAAAGCTCTGGTTTTTGGCTTTTGGGTTGTTTGGAGAAGAAAGGGTGCTTATAGTGTGATAGCGTCGAAGACTCGACGGGGGTATTTATATATAAAATTGTGTAGTGCGCAGTGGATCGAAAATATCTTAAAAATTGGGCCAATTAGGTTAGCTGGTAACATTTTTGATAATTTACCTTGTGCGCTTTTTATTTTTATCGAAAAAAATATACATATATATTAAAATACTAAAATGAAATAAAATAAAATATAAAAAATATAATATAATTGACATGTATGTGTAAAAAACTAATACATATTATTATAATTTTTTTATTAATTCGTCATAAAATAAATACGATATAAAGTTCAAAAATTCAAAAACATTGGGGGGGACGACGGCAATTGCCTCCCGTAAATAAAATATTTATGAGGAAATTTTATAAATATTTACTTTGTCCTAGCTAACCCTGATCGCATCTGTTCTGGTCAAGAATCTTACAAGACTAGTTGAAGGCCTTTGGTTGCAGCTACATGCTACAAACATCAGGCCGCTTCTACGACAACTTCGCCGATTCGTCGGGTGACTCCATCAGTTACAAGCAGGACGTTGTTGTCGTCTTCCAACGTTTGTTTTAGTCTCCTAGAGTTTCGAAGGTTACAAGTTTTTTTTTAACCAAACACAAAAGCCCATTTTCTACTCTCAAATACTTGCTCACACATGCCTTTTTTTGCAAGCATGACATCATTGCCGACTTCAGCGGTTTGACTAGTCTCTTAGAGTTTCGCCTAAATTGCTTTGATTTACGTTTTTTTTTTTAACGAAGTAGGAGACATTGCCACCCCTAAAAAATAATACTTATGATGGGATAATTTTATAGATATGCTCTACTCAAGTATCTTGCATGACTCCTCGAAGGCCTTCAGTTGTTGTTTCATGCTCTGCACATCGGGTCGCTGCCCCCCGTTTTTCACTTCTCTTCTCTGCACGACAGCATCGTTGATTCACCGTGTGACTCCATCTGTTGCAAGCTGGGTGTTGTTGCCGATTGACTTCCATGATTTGACATAATCTCTTAGAGTTGCTTAGAGTTTCACCTGTTCAAATTTTCTTTTAATCAAACTCAAAAGCCCATTTTGCATTCTCATATACTTGCTGACGCCTCCGGTTACAAGTAAAGCGTTGTTGCCGATTTTGACAATTCGACTAGTCTCTTAGAGTTTCGCCGCCATTTAAACTGTAAGTGCTTTGTTTTGCACTTTTTTTTTTAAACCAGTCAAAGTAGGAGATATTGAACTGTCAAACTACCCTCTAATATATATATATATTACAGATTTCATCTCCATGGCTTAGTATAGTAGGTTTTCACCAAAAGTTCTTCCGGATACAAACAAGCAATGCTTATTTTAATTGCATTATTATTTAAAGTTTTCAACTTTTTTACAATCATAGAAGCTTTATTCAACATAATTTAGCTATCATAGTCAGTATTGTACACCTATTAATTATAAGAGACGCTTATTTGAACAAAGGACATCATTACACACAGAAGCGAAGTATCAACACCTTCAGCAATATTGCTAGATGTCTAAATTGTCCTTTCAAAAGTTACTATATACACAGTAGAAATGGTTCCAGAACTGAAGGCATATAGGAAACTTGTTCTAACAGAATAATTAAATAAATAAAAAGAAGTACAATGCTGTGTAAAAAAGATAAGGAGAATTAATAATTGAGCTATCCAATTAAGATTGTCATCAGAAGTATTGCCATTTGCTATAGTTTAAAGTTTTTAACCATTTATTCTTATTCTGTAAGAACTTTTACAATAAATAGAAGCTTATAATGTTAATGGATTATTTTATCCTAATCTAAAGTTTTGTAGTTTCATTTGCATATCTTAGGCTTTGTTTTGTAGTTACGAAAGCTATTAACATCTTAAGCTTCCAGTTCTTGCTATAAATTTTTGGGCCTAGCTGCTATTACTCAGTTTTTGTATATTTGTGTATATGATGTTGTCAATCAAACGAATCGATTTCTTTTTTATATTACATTAGTTAGCAGCAACTCAATAAAGCGTATTGTGTTTCTGTTTTGTGGTGAAGACCTATTTATGATTTTAGTATTGTTTGGTGGCATTGCAAGGAACAATTATTAGCTCCGGTGACCAGACGTAGCTCTACGTGCTGTCACCACTGAGTTACCTAGTATTTTGCTCGGTATTGCTAGTTATTGCTTGGCAATAACGAGAAATACAGCTCTGTGAAGATCAATACCGAGTAATACCGAGCAATACAGAGTTTTTCTAGAAAAACTCGGTATTGCTCGGTGTTGCTCGGCATTACTCGATATTGCTCGGTATTTGTCTTCACATAATGGTATTTCTCGTTATTGCCGAGTAAAATCGACAAATACGTGGTTTTGTGCCTGTTACATGGCGCGATTTAGCGCCGGCGGAACGTAACTCTACGTCCTTTCACCGGACCAAATAAAAGTTTCATTGCAAGGCACTCCTAGAAACTATGACATTAAAAGAGAAACCTTTTGTAGCTATGAAGTTCTGGCTTTATTTTATCATCATCATTGATCATTAGCTTTAGGGCATTAGCCCGACCATCTAGGGTGAATTTTATGATTTTGATGTGATTTATTGGTTAGACTTCATGATTTTGATGTTATTTTTTATCGACGGGTGATCTTTCGTGGCCCTAAATTTCTTCATAGGATATATTAAATGGATCGTTATTTAAAGAGAAAAGAACATGTAGAGAATGATATTAACAATCTCCCAACTGATCATTGACTCTGACCTTTAATTTGTATTTATGATGTAAATAAAAGAGATAACATTTGGAGAGCGTATCTACTAAAGAGACCCCATCAACCGAAATTTTTTTAATTATTTCGAATATTATTTGGAAATGTTGCATGCAGATTTAATCCGAAATGATTTGAGTAATATCCTGATTAATTAAATAGGATAAAATATGCAAAAATATAATACTTTTTTTTTGTCTCTACTACTAATTAATATAATTCTAGGTTCATTGCTTTACTCATCAGCTCCAATTGTGCTTAGTGGTTATAGTAAAGAATTATTGGCATGTGAAACATCTTTTGAGATCACTTCAAAAATTGTCATCACTATTGGAGCTTCATATAGGAGTGACGCTCTTAAAATCATTTAACATGATAAAATAAATTTTCAACTAACTTAAGAGGATTTGAATAGATTTGAATAGTGGTCGAGGTTTGAATCAAGAGAAAAGATTACAATGAATTGGTGACACTCATTGGGGTTCGCATTTTCATATATTGATTAATTTGAACAAAATGTACACTTCAGTAATTGAAGCACTTGAAATTATTATGGAAGATGTGGTACATGATTAATAAGCTATTTAAGCTAGTATTCTAATAGATGTTATAGAATCTTTTAATTTTATCCTAGCAATGTACATAATTATTGACATTTTAAGTGTTATTGATAAATTATCAGAAGCCTTATAGAGAAAATATTTGGATATTGTAAATACAATAAAAGTAAAACAAATTTCTAAACAACATTATAGATAATGAGAAAATATGGACAAGATTCTTTATTGGTAGAAGTATAACATTTTTGTAATATTTTTGAAGTTGATGTTCAAATTATGAGTTTTACATTCAAGGCTTGTCGATGATCAGTACATATAAATGAGAAAAATAATAATTTTGCTTCAGTATCATATAGATTTGTTTATAATGCTATTGATATACAACTTAAATAGCTAAATAATAAATTCTCTAAAGATAGTACTCAATTACTTCTTTGTGTCTTATATCTAAATCCAAATACTCACTTTATGCTTATGATAAGAAAAATTAATTCGGCTAGAAGAGCTATATTCAGGAGATTTTTTTATAGTTAAAATTGTGACTCTAAAGAACCATCTATCCACATGCATTCTTGATATACATACAAGCGAGGAGTTCTCATCTTTGCCTAACATTGCTGATCTTACAAAATAATTTATTAAGATTAAGAAAGATATTGTGTATCTCTTAGTTTACAAGCTTATTGTCTTGACATTAATTTTGTTGGTTGCCACTGATATACTGGAGATGACATTTTCTACTATGAAAATTTTTAAACATTTATTACACAGTAAAATGGGTGATGACTAACTCAGTGATTGTTGAGTGTCATATATTGAGAAAGAAGTATTTGATTTATTTCCAAATGAATATGTAATTTCAATATTATTATAAAAACTATAATAAAATACAAAGGTTGTGATTTTCATTACAATATAATAATTTATTTTGAATATAACAAATATACATCATATAGAAAGTGTTACATAATGGAAATAGGAAGAATCATTATTGACATATTTTCTTGGTCGGAAGGGCCATACTCAGTGAGCGACGGAGGTCGGAAGGGCTGTAGTCGGTGGGCAACGTAAGTCAGAAGCACTGTCGTCGATGGGCGACTTAAGTCAAAAGGACTGTAGTCGATAAGTGACGGAGGTCAGAAGGATGGCATCGGGTAGAAGTCTAGTGATGGAAAGAAGTCCAACATCAGATATAAGTCTGACGAATGTCCGACAACGTATAGAAGTCCGACGTCAGGTAGAAATCCGATGACAAGTGGAGGTCCGGCGTCGGGTAATAGTTTAGCATCAGGTAGAAATTTGGAGACGGGTGGAAGTCCGGCGTTGGGTAGAAATCCAACGACGGTCGACGGACGGGCAGAACTCCAACGTTAGTTGGCTACTAGATGAAAGTCCGGCGATGGTCGAGGAGAAGTCTCTTCGAAGTCTCTTCCTTCTCTTCATTTTGCTCTTGTTTCCTTACTTTATTCCAACGTTAGTTGGCAATCCAACAAAACTCTTGCATTGGTCGATTGTTGGATGAAAGTCCGGCGGTGGTCGAGGAGTCTTTTCCTTATCTTCCATATTTCATTATCTTACTATCATATAGTACAATCGTATGTTCTTATGTATGAATAATTAAAAAATTATTGCGTATGAACCTTATGTGAATCAGTACAAAATGTTTTTGTACACGATGATTGTCTAGTACGAAC